GGGATTATTACGGGAAGTCAAACGAGGTCGAAATATTATATTTTTAATACCATTTCGAAGTACTCATAACTAGTTTCTCCCATCCCTAACGGCGTGCGAAATGGCCAACCGTAACGAAAGTTACTACTCGTCGAAGCGGGTCGAAATATTACATTTTTTTTTATTTGAGGCATATATGCCAAATGGGATTTGAAGATTAGAGAATCTGAAAAATAAATTGCCTATATATATAGCTTAACTCATCCTACACTCCGAGACGTTGTGCTAAAACGGAGTCAAGCTTAATTTCCAATAGATCCTTGTGTGCTCCTAGGCATTATGCTAAAATGGAGCCTAAAACCCAATATCGAATTATTTCGTTATACCAAGCCAAGTGTTGCTATTATTTTAATCTGTCCTACCTCACGTTCGAAACATTTCGAGAGATTACTTCCAATGCTTTAGTGCACGAACTTCTAGTGAGAGAAAACTTAGGTATGAACTTTAATTAGGGGTGTCAACGAGCCGAAATTCGAAGCTCGGGCTCTTTTTGGCTCGAGTCGAAATTCGAAGCAAAATTGATTCGAGCTTTTTTTGGCTCGAGTTGCTCGGCAAAATAATTGAGGCTTGATCCTTAGTAAGTTGAGCCCGAGCCGGCTCGTTCTTTTGTTATTTATTTATTATTTATTATTATTATTATGGTATACAGGTAGCTGCTATGAGTGCTGCAACAGGCAGCTGTTTTTACCTTTTTTTATTATTATTTTTTGAAATTTGTCTTGTGTAGACAAAAAATGGCTCGTGACATGGGCTTGTTCGGCTCGAGCCGATGCCCCCCCAAAATGTGGCTTGGCCTGAGCCTCGGCTTGGTTCGGACTTTTCCCTGGCCGAGTCACGAGCCGCTCGAGCCGTCTAGTTTTTTTGACATCCCTAACTTTAATCCTCTGTTCCCCTTCTTAAATTTATTAATCTCTTATACTTTGAATATTATCTCCTCATTAAGAAACTCTTCATGAGGTATAAATGAATACCACAACAACGACAGTGATGAGATGAGAACGTTGGAACCATTAATCATCCGATAGGAGAGCGTATCATCCCAGTGGAGTTAGTATTAGAGGGCAACCTCGTATTAGTGGTTGTGACTCGAGATATAGACTGGGATGGTACTGGTGTTTTGATACCATCCAGCACCAAGGTCTCAGGTGAAACTCGGTTGTGCCAAGAATGGTGCATTATGGAAGAGTCCACAAGCCTTGATTCGTCTACGTGGCACAACGTCGCTACACTGCAACAACAATTAAGCCATGCGTACATGGCTTCATTTCACAGGGGCCTTACAGGCCCCTCACTGTAGCACAGGGCCCCACCCCATTGTATTAAAAAAAAATGTGACCCCAACTCCATGTGTGTTACCTGGCAGCGCCTCTGTAAGTGTAGCACTGTCCTTGCAACACACATGTTTGTCAAATGACAACACGTTTACATATTGCAAATTAGATTGTCCCAACTTTCAAGTTTGAATTAGATGTATCCCAACCCCTTACTTATTTTTGTCGATAAATAATTGTTTAGCCCTTGTTTTAGCCGAGTGGTAAGAAACAAATTCGAAGAGTTGGTGGTAACTAACTAAGCTGAAAGGCAAACTTAACCACCGCGGGTTGGTCAGATCATTTCATTAATTGTTGGAGCTATTGCGACTACACCTCCTGATTTGTCAGGTATACTATGAAGAATGGCATGGATCGGTAGGAAATACCATTCCGGCACAATATGAGGCGGGGTGGACATTGGATTAGCAGAATTTTTATTTTTGTTTTCAACATGCACTTTTCACTCATTTATTTTCAATCACACATTTTTCAATAAAATAATATTACACAATCCTTTTTTAATAATTTTTTAACCACGCATCCTTCATTAATCTACTATTTCAAAATGCATTCTACATAAAAAAAGGGGGCTCAAACGGGTCCTTAGTTTAAAATTTACTTAGAGTATGTTTGAGAGTGATTAAAATCCAATTAAAATTGAAAATATAGTTGTTATTGGGTCCCACTAGTCTAATAAAAGTCAATAACAACATCTAATTTTTCGATTTTAATCAGATTTTTATCTCTACCGAACACGTCATTACCTTATGTTTGACTTATGTTTATCACTCTGTATCTACATATTTAAAGATTTGTAAGCATTGTCTATTTATTCGTTATTTACTTCTATCCATTCATCCCTTGTTTGACAATCATTTTTAAAAATTATTTTTTCTCATACTCATTTTCAACAATACGTTCTCATAATAAAATATTTTATTCAAATTTTTTATAAACCCTTCCTAAACATGATTTTAATAATTGATTTTTTGAAGCTTAGGCAACCATGGTTAGGAGTTAGGACATGAGAACCGGGCGCTCAAAATTGGGACAGCTCGCGTAGTGCCGACGCTGGTAACAGTCAAAACACAATTTTTTTCACTCATTAACTCCCATCTATCGTTCTACCTGTTTCCGCCATCCATCTCCTCCCCAAATTCAAATTTGGCTCTCACAAACCCTAGCTTTCTCTCTATTTTACGCACGTATTCATCTATTTTCTCTCTCTAAAAAAATATTCCAATACTCGTGATGAGGAAGGGTACTAAGAGGAAGACAACTCACAAGGACGAGGCACCGACACAGCCGGCTGAGGAGCCGAAGAACGACCCGAGCCAATCGGTTCAGGAGAGCAAGGATGGGCCGCCAGAGGAGAACCACGTAGAACAACCGGAAAGGGAGGAACCCATCCAGAAAGACGAGGCGGAGAAGAAAGTTCAGGAGGAACCGACTAAGAAAGCGGCCACGGGAAAAGCTAAGCGAGCTAAAACTGCTAAGCCTGAGGCCGAACCTCAGTATTTTTCAGAGAAGCGTAATTTGGTAAAAAAAAAAACTTTTAATAATATACAAATATACAGTTTTTTGTTTTATGCAAGCATCTATGATAAATGTACGCGACCATAGAGACATTACATTATCTAGTTGACATAAATCATGCCTGTGATAAATTCAAGCTTTTTTTTTCATGCCTGTGATATACAAATATACAGTTTTTTTTTTTTCGTTTTAATCAAATTTTATATAATTTCTACACCAATGTTGTTCAGGAAGACCTATGGCAACAGGTTTTTCCAGTTGGTACAGAGGTTAGCATTTAATTAATTTATTTTATTTTAAGCAGTCACGGTTTCTTTGATGAACGTACTATTATGTTTGGCTTTTTCTTTCCTGAAATTATTTTCAATGTCAGTGGGATCAATTGGACACGGTGTATCAGTACAGTTGGAATTTCTCTAATCTGGAAGTGAGTTGCCTAACTCTCGTTGCCCTGCTAATTTTTAAGCAATGCGATTATTTAAATTTCTTTTCTTTGTATAGTGGGCTTTAGTGATTCTCAAAGTAATTTTTTAATGCAGTGTTTGTTAGTATGGAATTTGAATTCATGACTTATCAATTTTAGCCATTGTTTGGACTCCATTTTTTAAAACTCATTTTCAGTCACACATTTCACGGTGTACAATTTTTATCAACTTTTCAACCACACGTATTATAAACTTTACCAAAATGTACTAGGACCTTGTTTGATCCCCTTTTTTTAAAAATATATTTTTCTTTCTCTTATTTTCAACCACACATTTTTCAATAAAATAATATTACATACAACCCAAAAACTTTCTCATCATTTTTAATCACGTGTTCTCTATCAATTTACTATTCTAAAATGCATTCTACACAAAAAAAAATAGGGCTCAAACACGTCCTTAATATATATAAACAAAACCAAGCAGGGGCTAAATTCTAAAATTACCATCAGTGCTAATTCCGATTTCAAAGCCTCATTACCCCTCTACCAAATGCCACATAAGGAATTCCAGTGCTAACATTGCTTGTGGCAGGACGCATTTGAAGAAGGTGGAGAATTATATAATCAAAAAGTCTACCTCTTTGGCTGTACAGAGCGTAAGTGGCAACTATAACTTGACTGCTTCCTTTTGTGTCTGAAAATAGCAAACGTATTGTTTTCTTATCGTAATCCAATTTTATTATTCTGTTTAATTGGGTGACATGAATAGTGCTACATGGCAAATGAATATTGGTTATACTGGTTATCTTTTAAGCCTTCTTCGCTGACTTGTATTTGTTTATTTATTTATGCAGCGCAATTGGTCTCTTTCCAAGGTCAAGGGAAAGTTACAATGATCCCTGTTGTGGTTGCTGTAAGTCCTTAAAAANTGTGGTTGCTGTAAGTCCTTAAAAACGTCTTCTTTGCATATAAATGGTTAACCAATTTTGGTGTTTGTATTATTTATATGTTATTTTTCATTGGTTTGTTGGACCATAATGCATTGAAGTTAGATTGGTGCAACTATTTTTTCTGTAGAGAATTTTTATTAATTTCCAAGATACCTTATTTGTGCTTTGAAAATTCCCTATGAGAATGAGATTGTCATTGTTTTGAACTTTGAACATTTTCATTTGATGTGGTGTTGGCCTTTCAAAATCTGAATTGAACTTTTGCCATTTTTTTTTCATTGAAGTTTAAGGACTGGTAATCACCTTCTGTACTTTCTTTCTTGTAATAATAGCTAATAACATCTTGTGTTTTTGTCATAGAAGAAGAAGAAGAAATTAAAGAAATCATGGTCATCTGGTAACTTGCATTTCACACGATGATAATTTCAGTTCTTAGGCTTATCTGTACTGTACATGTCAGAGATTATGGGATTGCAGATAAACTTGAGATAAATAAACTCATTATTTAACACTTCTGCATTGGCGTGCGTTAATGTTGGCACTAGTATCATCACTGTTTGCGGCTTGGGATGAAGTAGTTTCTAATATTAGTGTACTTTTAAATGTCGTAGTCGGTTTTTGGAGTTTTAATTTCTTATTTTTATTCCACTGTTGATACAAAGATATATACAGGAATAGAAATAGATATTTACAACCTTAGTCCCTAACAATTTAGAAAGACTACAAGTTAGTAACTAAGAATAATAATATGTGTATTTCAACT